AATCGTATCGTGAACAAAAAATCGTGAACCGTATCGAATCGTGAGTTGAGTGTATCGTTACATCCCTAGGCTAAATACATTTTAAAAGCACTACAGGTGTTGCAAGTTTGACTGTATAAGTACTGTATGAGCACTGGAAGCACGACACACAACAGATATCCCACCTTGTCTGAGACTCTGACAGGCCTGGCGCTCTAACTCAAATCGTATGGCTCTCTCATCCATGTTCCTGCTGATTGGTGGAAGCCTGAGAGGGGCACGGTCAATGCGGACACAAGACAGTTGATCCAGCATGGCGAGTGCGATCAAACTAGGAAATTATTCTCAATGAGGCACAAAGAAAACACGGAGGAAGAGGTCGGCTGCAGCTTAGTCCAGGTGTTGGTTTTATGCAGCTGTCACAAGTCTGTACATCCAGAAAACAGAACAATGCAATCCTCTTTGACAATTGCCAAGTGGCTGGACACAGTAAAAGGAAGAATATTCTTTAAAGCAAAGTAACAAATGAAAAGAGATTTCTCCTCCTCATTAAAACAGAAATTTCCCGCCACTTTGGAAAAAACCTCCAGTGTCGTCTACAGGAAAATCCTCCTTAACTGTATCATAGCAGTGAAAAAAGCATGTACAAATATAAAGCTACTGTATCAGAGCTACTGCACAGCTTTAGGAGAGCTTCTGCTGTATTTGCTGTAGCTACAGGACTGACTAAGATGCGTGTGTGTGCTTGTGTGTGTCAAATGTCTGTGAATCCGTGATCAAGCAGTTTGTTTGTCACAGCTGTTGCTGTACTCTGTCATTCAGCCATTGACAGACACAAACAGGCGCACACAGGGACGCCCACCTACACATGCACACACACACACCCACACACACACACATACACACAAACGTTGAGTGGAGGCCCTTTGCTCCTCACCAAATTCCTCTTACTTAGCACTTCTTGACTTGGGGTCAATGATATGCACCTGTGGGAGCACCTCTCTGCTGTCATGCCTAAAATCATTACACACACACACACACCTGCTGTCACTTTGTATGTCTACTCTTTTCTGTCTGCTGTCTGACATTTGTACTGTCCGTTTCCTGCTAACCATGTTTAAAGGACTCTATTCATACTCAGGAACATAACTTGTCGAGTACAGTTTAGTACAGAAGAGGACACTGCCGTAACAACTTGGGCAGCACCAAAGACCGTCAGAAATGCAGATCTTAATTCTTAATCCAAGCAAACAGTGCTATGGTTCATTATGAGTACCAATGTTGATGGAATCTGCAACCTCTAAACCTCTGTAAATCTGATCTATCTGTTATAGACATGGCAATAATCGGCAGTGACAATCAGTAATCATGCTGATGTTAAGAATTGTTACGCAAATGAAATTACAGAGAAAAACAAACTGAAAACATGCACGTCACAGCTGGCGGAAGTACAACAACTGCTTTCAAACCCAATCTGGCACATTACAGTAACACTCTTTATATTGTCAACCAAATGCAAAGATTAAAAGTAATTGTTGTCAGCTCATTACAAAAGGAAGTGAATGTGCTTTCACGTGTCCAGTATTCGATTAGATTAGATTTAACCTGTTATAATAGTATGATGAATCAGTTTCTAAAACAAGCAATTTTCTTCTCACATGCCTATCACCTTTAACTTTCTATCACTCACAGCTTTCTAAAAAGACATTATAAAATTGGGCCAGTTGATGAGAGCTGGAACAAACAAGCCCTCAAGTATATGCCCCTCTGTAAGCCTTTACCTTCCTCAATAGTACAATGATTCAGTATGTAGGACACATTTAAGGAGAAATTAAACTCAATATCAAGTGCCTTATCTTTTCAAGACAGCAACTAGCAAGCTGCGCACTGACATTCAGCCATTGTATAATGGCTGTGTTTAAAAAAGAAAAAGAAAAGGATGCATCCATGGTCCAACTACCGACTGATCTGTCCTCTCGCAGCAGGTCAATAAACCTGCCTGCATGCCTTTAAACTGCCTTTATCTCCCTCTTTCAGTCTCCTCTCCCTGCCTGGTATAAAACACCTGTTCTCCTCCATTGACAGTTTCATTCATCTCCATTATTAAGGCTCTGTCCCAGGTGACATCAGATAATGTGACATGACATCAAAAGGTGAGAGAAGGCCCTTTCAAGGTGAAAAAAAATAAGCAATCTCTTCTCATCTGTCGGTTAGCATTACAATGAACCGTTGGTGCTTGTCATGTTCGCATTATGCTGATGACAAAAATTATTTAGTGGAGGCAGCGCTTCAAAAACAAAGAAATGGCTAGCACACGGTAAAGTGTGTGCTTTTGTAAATGATTTGGTTATCAGTGGCTATATTACAGGCATGAAGGATTGTTAAGAGAGCTGATGCACACATATATCAGCGTGTGCATTTGTGTGCACATGTTAAATATGCAGGACGATGTGTCTGTGGGTGCATTTCTGTATCGAGGGTGTTAATATGCAAGATGTGGTGTCCCCAGGCAAAGAACTCCTCAGTCTGACAAGAGAGGGAAAACGAATCAGGACTCTGATCCGCCATTACTTCAGATAAGGCCCCAACCAAAACACTGGCAGGGATAATCCTGCTTTGCTGGGTGTGTTTGTGTGCATGTGTGTAGGTGTGTGTGCGACTGTTTATTCTCAGAGAGTGTATCTATTTTGTGACAATGTGTTCAACGCTGTGAATCACTAATATAGCTGTATCTATTTATGTAACAGCACATGTATAAATGTATCTAAAGACGTGTCTGCATAAGTTTGTTTGGATGTATCTGACTGTTTCTATAATGTGTGCTCACATCAGTCATAAATGCTGACAGAAAAACACACAAACTGCTAAGGGCTCCAAGTGGACCGTAAATCTCCGTCTCACTATCTCCCCTGCACACAGAGCTCAGTCTTGCTGTATCAGTAGAGGCCGATGTTAATCTCTGTTGATTAATAAACAGAATAAGATTTCAAAATAGTGGTTTGGAGAGGTAATGTTTCCACAACTGTCAAAAGCTATGGAAAAGTCAAGGTCAGTATTGTAGCTTGAGTGCAGAACTTTCACAGTGCCTTCTGTTTTCAGGCGGGGGTTGCTAAGGTCCTATGGAGGCATTTCCTCTTGTATCTGTACAAGTACTTGAATGTCTCTGCAATTTGTATACGAGAGAATTCTTGAATCATGGCCAAAAACGTGTATTTGTGAGGTTAAATTGAGCTTGACCTCTGACCACTAAAATTCACTCAGTTTATTCTTGAATCCAAGTGAACATTTGTGCAAACTTTTCCTTGAGATATTGTGTTCATAAGACTGGGACGGACAAATGGACGGGCGGACAACCCAGCCACAGCTTTCAGGCGATCAACAAAATCAATGTCATTCGTCCTAAGGGGACCATGGATGTCTGAACAAACCCTCATGGAAATCCATCCAATGGTTGTTGAGATATTTTAGATTGGACCAAAGTGGTGAACATATATCGCCATCCCTAGGAGTCCACAAGGCCCTCAATGTCAAGAAACTTCAACAACCAGACTCAGGCCAGACTTTTGGTCAGTGAGCCCCATACAAACCAGATTCTAAGAAAAAAAGTTTCAATTCTTTTCTGCTGACCTTTGAGCTTGATGTGATTACTCTACAGAATGTCTCGCTATGTGTTCATCAATGCCTCACTGTCATCTCTGGGGAGGTGGCCCATACTAAAAGGATTTGCTGTTATGTCACGGAGAAGAAATTATGAGACGAGAGGTCAAAAGTCATTGCTAAAAAAAAACCTCCACTCAATACTGCAGAGGGAGCCCCAACGACCCTCTGCTCCACAATACAGGAAATTAAAGTGTGGCTCTGAAGCTACAGCACACAGAGAAACAGTTATCCTGGCTTCAAGACATACCACTGGTTGCTGGACATAGTTGGCCATGAGTGTAATATTTGGTTGTTGTGTAGAAGCGTTAATTAATGGTTTTTAAAGGTTTCCATAGCAACATGGGTCATGAAAACCTGCATTGTGGATTTTAAACGGTCACTTATGACTGTTTTAAATGGATAAAGAAGGAAAATTAGCCCTAGTATATTTTTACCAGCTAAACTATGGCTGTAAATATTATTTTTATATTTTCCACTGTTATTTTTTGCTACATATGAGCCTCATCTTCAGTTTCATCACCTTTGCTCTTCCTAAAACAAGACAAAGTCATCAACAGGTGTCAAATTAACTCCGACCGTAACTCCTCCTCCCCCTGGTGGAGCTGTCATGCATGTCACTATAATGCACTCTCCAATAGTCATATTTCTGCTTTCCACATAAAGACTCTATTATCTGTTCTTCATAATCTTTAAAAATACAAATGTATCACAGTTTCTGATGGGCCACTTCGTTCAGCTTTCATAAACAGACATTTTTTAGCCGTTTCTTTAGCTGTCTTAGCTGTTGACTTGATATCCATCTACTATCCACTTTATATTGTCTGTCTTGCATTCTTTTCATTAAGGCCACTAAGGAACAATTCATCCCAAAATGAAAATGTAGTTATTAACTATTGATCCACATGTCAGTCAAAGTGAAGTCAGTGTGAAAACCAAAGACAGAATGAGGGTTAGGCTTAGGTCCATCAAACCTTTCCCTGCAAACTATTAAAAATAATGGGACCATGCTGTATCTCGACAGCTCCAAAAGATGCATTAAATGTCTGTCAGTGGGTGAAACATAAAGTATGTGTTTTGCAGACAGCACTGTGGGTCCAAAAACCCCAATAAGTTTACCAAGTTGTTCAAATGATCCATATTTTCTTCAACATTAAATTGCTCATGAGCATAATTGTGTGCTTGCTGCACTGAGCCTCCCAGGCTTAGGTTGCTGCATGCACTCTTAGCCTCCTTAAAATCACCTATACACTGAGAGAACATGTATGTGGAATAATTGCTGTTAATGTAGGTTAACTCCTTCTTTGACCTTTTATTCTATTTTATTCCTCCTGAGTACCCCTGCACCGACAGTTTCTCCAGTATCCTCAGCCAATACCTTTTCTTCACTTCAAAATCACCCCCTACCCCCAACCAACCAGCCTTCCTCTGATATTACATCTCTCCTTCCTCTTAACCTCTGTACTCTCTCCAACTGCTTTTAAATAGCAGGACCAGCTGGCCACATCGCTATATCCAGAACTTCTTTATCTGTGCACTCTGGGGCTAAGATTGCACACACCTTACACACACACACACACACACAAACTCCCACATACAGAGGGGTTATTCAGGACTTATTAAAGGGATTTGAAAGGGACTAAAACTGATCTTGAGTCCATCAAATGGAAGTCTGTTGATGACCTGTTAAACCAGACACCATGGATTGACATTTGTTGGTCTGGTTGTAGTACTCGTATTGGCCCACAGGTGGCAACATGCACTTGTAAAATAGAGGGCTCCACAGTGCATTCCTGTCTACCTGGTACAGTGGTTCGCCTACATGTTTCAGACAACTGTAGCAGATATAGTCATACTGCACTTCTGAAAACACAAAAACAAAACATAAGACTCCGGTGAGGTGTCCTTCAGAGGAAAAGAGAATGAGAGAAAGATATTTTCTTGTGGATAAAAAACAAATAGAGTATTATATCAAAAGAGAATATCAAAAAGATTCTCATGTATGCGTTGCCATTTTAATGTCAATGTTAGATCAATCTTAAATGCTACAAACACTGAAATATTTTTGGAAGGCATTCATGTTCTATCTATACCTCAGCTGCACATGAAATACCCA